TCAGACATAATTATATAAAAACTACATGAATGAAGCTGGAAACCATCATTCTCAGCAAACTAACACAAGAACAGAAAACCAACCACCACATGTTCTCACTCATAAGTGGGAGTTGAACAATGAGAACACATGGACACAGAGAGGGGAACATCACATACACAGGGGCCTGTCAGAGAGTGGGAGGCTAGGGGAGGGATAGCATTGGGAGAGATACCTAATGTAGTTAACGGGGTGATGGATGCAGCAAACTACCATGGCACATGCATATGTAACAAACCTGCACATTCTGCACATGTACCCCAGAACTTAAAGTATAATAATAATAATAATAATAATAATAAAACTACATGGATGTACTGTAATTTGAGGACTTGCTTACTAAAACTACAAAACTTCAAATTTTGTCTAGAGAGCTGTTTTATAAAAACATGCCAGAATTCAAAATTGGTTTTTGGGTTTTCTTCTATGCGATAACCATGATCATAAGTCTATTATTGATATCTGAATATAGTCCTCCCTTGGTATCCAGGGGAGCTGGCTGCAGGATCCTCATGGATATCAAAATTCATAGATGCTCAAGTCCCTCAAGAGTGGCATAATATTTGCATATAACCTATGTACATCCTCCTGTGTACTTTAAATCATCTCTAGATTACTTGTGATACCTAATACAATGTAAATACTATGTGAATAGTTGTTGTACTGTCTTATTTGTATTTTGATTGTTGTATAGTTATTTTTTATTTAAAAAAATTTTTAAATATACTTTTGATCTGTAGTTGGTTGACTTTGGATGTGGAACCCACAGACATAGAGGGCCAACTGTAACTGTAGCAATTGGCTTAGTTCATTAGGAAATAGCATAGATGAACTTAAGATTCTCAATGACTCTTATTCTTTCTTTCTTTCTGCTGACTCCTCTGTGGCCACAAAGGGCATTCTCTGTCCCACCCAGCTGTCACTTCTCTGTGCAACTGTTCTCAAAAGCAACAAGGCAAAGTATTTGGGGCACTCCCCCAGACTTGTTGCTATTACTAGAAAAAAGTGCTGTATGTTTCCTATTAAACTTTACAGGATGAGGGTGTATTTTCATGTGATCTGGATCTGTCTTTCTGGCTACTTGATAGCTTTCTCCAGCCATAGTTACTTGAGGGAGTGAGTATATAGCACAAGATACGGTAAATTATGTATTCCTGTAATTTAACAAAACTATTAACGTAAATAAATACTCAGTTTAGGAGAATTTGAAAGACACTTCCCACATACTCTGGTCTTCCTCAGCCTCTAACTACCTTTTGAGTTCTAGTTATTGTCCAGTCACTTTGGCTCTTAGTTCCTGTTTTCTAGTCTGTTTCTCATGCATTTTGTTGCTTTTTCCTTCTTTGAAAAGTCTTGTTTTTAATTCTAAAAAGGCCTACCCTTTCCTCCTTTTCCCCCTTTAAAAAGTACATGTGAGCTAAATAGGTTTTTAAGCAAATATATACCTAGAGGTTCCTCATAATGACTCAAAAATAGTTTAATACACAATAATTTAAAGATAGATACTACCATACATTAATTTTGCAATCTAGGTATAATATTAGCACCCATTAAATTTTGATGCACCATACTTTGCTAAGAGCTATTTGCTGATTCTATGTGACTTTCTTCTTAAGCTGGGAACCATGTGAAAGGAAGTGAGCCTCCTTTTACCCCTGCTCAATTCTCAATGAGAACTGGGTTTATGTGGTTAATTGGGCACTGGAGTCAGAAAGACCTGGGTTAGTAGATATGTAATTTTGGCAAGTCACTTGACATGGCCCAAAAAGTTTTTCTGTCTTTAAAATAGGGATGGAGATCTCTATATCCTAAGGTACTGGGAGTATGAAAGATAGGAATGTAAGTAAACCATAAGCCTAAACTCTGTGGTTCCCATTATCTCTGGAGGGGTGAGGAGGGCAAGAGTACCATGCCCAAGAGAATGGGCACCATGGGTTCATGTGTGGGATGAAGGGGATGTCTGTAGCAGATGTTAGCTATTATTATTATTATTTTCCAAGTAGAGATTTCATTCCCTTACATATTATGGCTTGTAAATGGGTATTTTTCTGTTATGGATACTAGCAGGGATATAAGGGACCTTGCTCTTTGCAGAAAAATACCCCAAAGAAATATGCTCAATAAGTGCAGAACAAGCTTCAATCCTTTGGGAACTCACATAGGGCTGCTTCTGTTTCACATGAACTCCCAGGAGAGTGTTATGGAGGAAAGAGTAGCCAGTCTAAAAAAGAATCAGGCCCAGCATAATACCAGCACTTTGGGAGGCTGAGGCAGGAGGACTGCCTGAGCCCAGGAGTTGGAGGACAGCCTGGGCAACATGGCAAAACCCTGTCTCTACCAAAAAATACAAACTATTAGCCGGGCATGGTGGTGTGTGCCTGTGGTCCTCGCTACTCAGGAGGCTGAGGTGGGAGGATCATCCGAGCCCAGGAGGTCCAGGCTGCAGTGAGCCGTGCTTGCACCACCTGCACCCCAGCCTGGGTGACAGAGCAAGACACTGTCTCAAAACAAAAGAAAACAAAAAAGAAAAAAAAAAGAACATGTTTAGAAGAAGGAAACTTGAGATTCCACAGATGCCAAACACAATAACGGACTGTCTGCTTTACTTCTCTGTTTCCTACATTAAGCACCATGTTAATTATGAGAACAAGGTAGATTTAACATTGACTTGATCTGTGTTTAATTTCAAGAACTTAAAATAGCAACTGAAATAGCTTCATAGTTAATTGATAGATTTAAAATAATCTTTAAAAAGTAATCTTTAGGCTGGGCCTGGTGGCTCATGGAATCCCAGCACTTTGGTAGGCCAAAGTGGGCAGATCACCTGAGCTGATGTGGTGCCTATTCACATTAAGGATGGGTCTTCCTCATCCAGTCCACTGACTCAAATGTTAATCTCTGGCAACACCCTCACAGGCACACCAGAAACAATACCAGCTATCCAGGCGTCCTTCTATCCAATTGAGTTGACACCTAGTATTAGCCATAACACTCTCCAATCTTTCTTCAGTGTATATTTACACACTACTTTACAAAATTGGGATTAGATTGTAAATTCTTAAACTGTATAAAGAAAATGGCATCTTCATTTTTTTTTTTTCCTGAGGCATTTCGTGATTATCTGACATTCCTGAACTCTGAGGGTCATTGTGAATCCCTTGCAGATAAACACTGGCTTATTTGCCCAGCATTCTAAGTGGTTCTAAAAGCTACCATTGTGGCTATACATAAAAGGTAAGTGGAAACTAAATTAGAGATCAATGTAAAGGTTCCTTTTCTGTTTAACAGAAGAAAAACTAATTTTTTGTTAGTGCTTTATCCAAATGTGAAGTCTTTTATTTGTCAATAGACTATAAGCTCAGGAATCTTGTTTTATCTCCCTACTCCTTGAATATGCCTACTATGTAGTAAGTATTGAACTACTGGAATGTTTTTGGAGTCCAGAAATAAACAATTAAAAATTCTATAATCTGGATGGTGAATCAATCATAATGAGAAGGAGAAAATGAAAAATCATTTGGGTAGACAGCTAAGGCTAGTCTTCGGAGAAGCAGCCTGCCTGAAAAAATCACAGCTACAGGCGAAAATAGAGCAGCCTGGGGAACACTCAACCTGCACATATAAGCAAGTAAGGCAGGCAAGGTCCAGCATAGAAGCCTTTTGTTATTTGTGTGATTAGCAGGTTCCCAGGAAAATGTTTCCTCCCCTTTTCAGACGTGAACATGGGGGACTCCATGGGAGACTGCACTGGAAACAGAGAGGGGCTTGCCTAAGACAAACCCACAATTACACAAACAAGAAAAAAGCTATGCTTTGTGCTTACCTAGAGAACATCTCACAGCTGGATAGATAGGGGGAGTTGTGCAGACAGCTTTTCAGATAAGAGAAGTTACTCAAACAGCTACAGAGAGGAGAGGAGTTTCTTATAAAAGCTTTTACATTCAAGTGTAAAATGGCACTGCACTTGAGCTCCCCTCTCCACTGTGGAGAGCTTTCTTCTTTCACTTATTAAACTTTTGCTCCAACCTCACCCTTTGCACCTATGCTCCTTAATATTCTCAGTCATGAGACAATGAGCTCAGATAACACCTTAGACAACTAGACCATGGACCCTGACCTGATTGAGTAACACTGAAGAATTGGACAGTCTGAAAGAGAAAAATTCTCAACAGTGTTGGCTGTTTAACAAATGACCAGTAATTTAAAACAAATTAATTTTGAAAGTCTAATTTATCATCCATGTATTAGTTCTTTCTGGTCTTCTCCATTCAGTTAATTTTGTTCCCTTCTGCCAGATGAATTTACTCTTTCCACAAATATTTTCTGACTGCTGATTTTGTGCTAGGCAGTGCTCAAAGTGCTGGGGATACGGCAGGGAACAATACAGATAAAATTCTTTGTCTTCATGATGGAGAAGACAAGAAATTTGCGAGAGAATTTCAGTATCGATAAGCGCTATGAAGAAAATAGAAACAGAGTGCCACAATGGAATGACTGTGCACGTGCGTGTACATGTGGGCATAGAGTGGAACAAAAGAAAAGTGATTCTTCTTGCTTTAGTGCAGCTGTTGCATGGGTTGAGCACCTTTGGCAACTCCAGGAAACCCAAAGTACCTGTGGCCCATTAAGAAGGTGTGGAACCTATTGTTAGAGGCTTTGGGAGTAAACAACTCTCTATGGAAGAGCTCTGTAATGCAGTAGCTGTCACATGGTAACAAGTACATGGAGCAGAAGACAAGCATAATGTCCTTAATCATAGATTACTTAACAACTCCACCTACTTTGAAGATGTTGAACTGATGAAAAAGTGTTAGTTACAGCTAAATGTTTTACGTGAGAAGTACTTTGCAAACCTCTCAAACACTTTACAGATACCGTTATCAGTCAAACTGGAAGTAGAATGTCCATAGTGGGGTGTAACAAATGTGTCATATGCATGAGTTTAAAAAATGACTAAAATAGGAAAGATGAAAAAACATGCTTTATTTGTTTATTCCATGGTTCAGTTTCTCTTTAAATTCTTTCCACATAGGCAAATTGCTTTCAGTATGACAACAAAATTTACTTAGTGTTCTAAACACTTGGGATCATTTCTAAAATAAAAAAAATTGTATTAAATGTAGGACCAGGGATTTCAACCATGCAGTATATTGCTTCTGGGATAAGTCTGCTGTACTATTCCAGTCCTAGTGAATAGTTAATGCCTTGAACAATTCCTATCACCACAGGTTGCCAGGCTACCAAATAACGAAGCCAATCCAGGATTTGTCCATACAGAAAATGTGTGCGCTCCCAGCTAAATCTCAGTTAAGGAGATTGTTCGATATACAGCCAAGTAGCAAAAATATTCATAAATGTCATTTGCAAATATAATGAGCAATATAATGAAGGAGTATTTCCTTTCTTGTTAGTTCTATGTGCTCAATTAAAAGCCCCTTACATGAGTTTTACTGCATTATGGTTGTCATTGTTACTTACACCACACTCAATTTCTGAAAATAAATTGAAATTCTTTACAATAAAATCCCAAACTAGAAAACGAGAATCACAGGCAAGGGTATATGCTAAAAGAAGGAAGAAGAGGGGAATGACTGTATTAGGAAACCAAGGATAGTGGAAGCTGCTCTGAATGAGCAAAAACAGCTCTGGGCTTTCCTGTAGTTGTACATCAGAGCAAACTCATTGTATATTAACAAGAATAACACTGGGTCATCAGATAAGACCTTTTTCTGCTATTTTTGATAAGCTGTGCTAGGTCGCTTAATGAATGCATAGTTTCTATGATAACAATTTTACAAACAAAATGGCAGCTTTTTCACATCTAGTTTTTTCTTATATTGAGTCTCAAAGAGTAGTACATGTTTTATTCAAAAGTCTATTTTCTCAAGACTACATAAAGAAATGAATTGCCCTTTGTTATTTAAAGTATCATTTGGGGTGACTTTTATGATCATATCATCACCAATTTTATAACAAAGATTTATGTATTGAGGTTTTACAGGTTATTAACCAAAAACTTTTCTGGACTTGGTCTTCTCATTTTAGAAGAGGAATTCTGGGACAGTGAATGAACAGGAGGGCAGAAAGAGCATCACACACCTTTAGCTTGAGTTGTGCTTGAGTGGCACTGACTCATCGAGAAAGGCCAGTGGATGGGGCGGGTACTGCAGGTGCAGGGGGTGGTCTCTTGCAATGGTATGGGCCTTGAGATCCAAAGGTCAGTGGATGCTGCCTCCTCCTCTGAGGCCCTCCTTAAATCCCTCCCTGATCTGCAGTGCTCAGACATGAGGGCATTGCTGCCAGTAGCCACTGTTAAATCATAGGTTTAGGGTTGGTGAGGAATAGGGGAGCAGAGAGCAGAGAAGGTGATTCCTTTAGCATTGTAAAATTTAGGTGACTGTACAGAAAGGCTGTCTCTTAGAGAAGAGATAGTACTTAATAGATTAATGCCAACCTGTCAGGGCTCTTTTGTTTAAGGGAGGATATGTTTTCATCCCATTCTCATCCACTTCCTGAAAGAGATATACTATGGTCTTGGGACAGTGAGGTTGAGGACTAAGTCTTTCTAGTTAGCTCTGGATGGGGGCCATTACTTTCCTGCGACCTTAATGAAGCTTGAGTTTATTCTGTTGCTCATCTCTGATGTCTATAAAAATCTCAGTTGCTGCCAGAAGCTGACCAACTCTGTAGGTCTTTATTTCTTCTCAATATTATTATCTCTAGGGTTTGTCCTAAGAAGAGATGATGCATGGTATGGATTTTAAAAAGCCAAAATCCAGAGGGGGAAAGACTTACTCATTTCTGGGAATAATAAAATTTGGTATACCTTAACATATCTTAAAAATAGTTTTCTGTACTCTAGTTCATATTTGGGCTTTTAAAACAATTTTTCTATATATGCACCTATCCACCCACCCATCCAATTCACCTATTTATTCATCCATCCATCCATCCATCCATGCATGCACGCATCCATCCATCCATCCATCCTGATTATTCTTTCATGTATTGTACCTATTTTTTGCAATGTCTCATCACATTTCCACTAAAGCCCTTAATGTGGAAAATATAGAACACAAAGAGTGGAATGTTTTCTGGCATTTAACTTTCTAACCAGAACAGTAATATAGGCACTGAGGAGAAAAGAGACCATAAGTCATTTTGAAATAGGTGGTTAGGGAAAACAAGTTTTCTGCTGGAACTATACAAAAATACTGAATGTTTTGATCCAAGAATATATCCCCAGAAACATTCAAGATAATTTCTTATCACCTTTTTGTTTTAAAGGATATGGATTACTGATCATCCTCTTCAAATCAACCTTCTCTTTGCAGTAAGGGCATGTCTGCTTTTTCCCTACGATACACCAACCTCGGATGCAGAACTCATGAAAGCTGAAGCATCCTGTTAGGGAGCCTTCCAGATATAAAAGGGCTATGTCTGGTTCATGATGGGATGGAATGGTCCCAACTTCGGGGTCTAGTGGTGGAGTCATGACTTGATGAGGCATGTCGCTTTTTTGGGGGAGGTTCTGTAAGGGATCCCACAATGACAGTGAGCCCAGAGTCACAGCTGCATTTGCTTTATGACCCTCAGGAATTTACCTAGCTTCTTGGTCTTCTTCTTGCCTCACTTGATTCTGTTAAGAATTTGATTAGATAAAGAATGTGAAAGTTCTTTTTTTTTCTTTACAGTAATATCTTCTATAACTGTATCATTATAGTTCCCCACCTTGGTATAGTGCATTTCCCCTGCATTTACTGTGGCATTTCTCCCTTCTACTTTTTGTGCATTATTCATTAGCTTCATGTAATCAGACTTGTCTTGGGCACTTAGACAAGTTAAAATTATTTGTGGTCATAAAGTTACAAATATTTCTAATAACTTCATAAATTTTTTTCCTTGACTTTTAAAAGTACTGATAAGGAGCCAATTATTTTAATAGAATATATACCTAATAAACTTCTCAAACTCTAGGCATTTATAGATCCATTTGTGTGTGTCTCCTGGTCCAGAAAGTCTGACCCTTTGTCTCCAAACTTGAGAGTGAACCCTATGTATTCTTACAGCACCAGGTACTTACTCTAGTGTAGCATGACTTTCTATACTTAATGTTTCTCCTAGACCATGTGTTATCTGTTGGACTGTGTCTCATCATCTCAGTGTCATCAGCACCTTAAGCCATGCCTAGGAAATATTTATTGAACATTTGAATGACTCTTTTCAAAACTGATTATTTTTGGAAATACATATTTCCATGTTCCTTGATACTATGGATTTGGGCAAAATGATGAACTGTAATGAGATCCATTCTATTGATTTATTTTTACAATCGCTGCTCCCATTGTGACTTTCTGGGCCAAGATCACATGATCTTCTGACTGCCCTGCTACGTATCCAGGTGAACAGCATTGATGTAGAAGCTCCCTTCCTAACAAATGGAAGAGCTTGGAAGTGTAGTAAGGCAAGGTCATACTACTCCTCAGTATTACATTTCAATGTAACTAAGAGTTTCCATTATTTTATGTTCTTGGAATTGGGGTCATTTTTGCAATATGCTTTAAAATAAAGTGGTATCTTATTACAAAGATTTTGAACCATAATGCATACAGCCTTTCATTCAAAAGGGCTGGAATACAGCCCCATCTTCCACAGAGGTATAGAATTCAGGGGCCATTGAGCCAGCACTGAAATGTCCACGTTCTCTCTAATGTTCTTTTTCATCTTCAAAATCTCAAGGCCGAAAAATCTCCACACTGGCAGAACTGCTGCAGAGCAAGACTCAGATAACCCATCCTTGTTAATAGGACTCATTAATATTTGCCCATTTCTCACTAATACGACTCATGCTAAAATGGGCCATTAATAATACTCCCTGAAAAGCGAATTGAAAGGCAACTACATTTTAGATTATATATGCACACATGTGCAACAATCCCTCAGGGCTTTTAAAGGTAGAGAGAGAAAATATTTCCACTTGCAAATGGCAGAAGGGGCTCTGTTCCAACATTTGAAAAGTAATTCATGTTGAAAACTAGGGCCAGACTTGGAAAATTGCTACAAAGAATCAGTTTTTTTTTGGGAAAGGTATCACACTGAAAAAAACCAACTATAGCAATCCATATGGGGTATCTTTGTGTTTCTTCCCTTACGATTTTAAGGCTTAAATGTTGGAGTAAAGGCTCTTATTACTTTTGAGATGCATTTGGTCCAGGTTTTATGCTCAGGATTGAATAAGTGGAAGCTTTCCAGATTAAACAGAATTGAATCATAGGTACTGCACACTGAAGTATGACTGGCTAAATTAAGTGGGCTTTAGGCAAAAGACAGATGGTTTAACCATCTCATAATGCTAGGGCTTTGAACTGACTGGGTACATAGTGATGACATTATTAAATTTATACTGTACTATAAAATAAAGATAAATGATGCCCTTTTTTGTATTTAGGAATAATTAGAATACTGATTATTGGCTAACCTAAGCCTAATTTTGGTATCCACAGCAAAAGTAGTATCCAAACATATTCAGGTAGCAAAGGTTGATTTGTTTAGGGGTCTCTATGTCAGCATTTTTCAGCACCTTGAGGCTTTCCTTAATGGTTACTGGAGTTCCCATGGAATGCTGGTTTCCAGGCCTAGGCTCTCTGGTACCTGTCATCTGAAGATCCCTTAGCCAATGGATAGCTATTTGGGATAGAACCCATTGGTAGAGGAGCCAAATGGTCCAAGAACAAAGGTCCAAATTTTGCTCCCTGCTTTTGTAATCCAAGGTGTCTTGCTGCCTGTGGCCATATCTTCTTCTGAAGACTGAAGCTGCGAAGAAGGCTTGGTTTCCTCCCTTGGCTGCCCACAAGACTGCTATTGCCACAGGTAGGTTCCTAGGATTATTTCTAGGCAAAGTACACTGTGTATTTCTTTGTCTGCTAAGATTCAGACCTGTGGCTCCACCTGGCTAGTCTTAAGTTCTCCCCTGCACCTGTTAACTTCACTCTTTTTCTCACCTCCAAAATCCTTCTTTCCCTGGTCATTCTTGGCTATCTGCTCACATACGACTTCAACCTATTTCCCCACTAGCACCCTGCTCAGATGCTGCTGCCTTCCTGTCTATGTAGCATTAAGAGTCCTCTTTAAAAATTACTGGAGGAGGAGGAGGTTCACCTTAATTAGCAGTTCATTAATCAGCAGGGACAAACAGAGAGACTCAAAAAGAAAGACTGGGCTAAAGGATAGAGGACTGGGGTTTGGGGACGGAAGGTTACCAAGATGGAGGAGATGGGGACAGAAGGGGGAGAGGGAGGAAAGAAGGAGGCTTGATGAAGGCCAAACGATTTCTTTTAAAAAGGATACACATGATTACAGGAAAGCTGGTAGGTGTTTTCAATGAGCCCATCTTCATCAAGCTCCACAATAATCTTCTGCCCACAGACTGCACAGATGTTGTCTGATAAGCTCCTTGTAGGCATCCCGCTGACACTGTAGAACTATCAGAGGAAATGGACAGAGCATGGTTGGAAAGGAGAGCACATGCCACTCTCGGAATGCAGGAAACCACTGCCAGGCACTGGGACAGGCACTGCTTCTAAGCTGGTTTAGAATGAGAGACCCCTTTTCCTGTAGGAAGAATGCTACAGAGGTGTTAAGGTTTCTGGGAAAAACCCACTGAATTCCAAATAGACCCAAAGCACACTGCCAATTATAAGCTCTCATCTAACTTCCACACTTAGGAATCCTTTCATAGGAATCGTTTTTATCCTTTGACTTTATCCATAGATTGGCCCTTCCCTTTATTCTCCTGAAGGTTCTGATTCAGATCTCTGGAGTACACCTAGGCATCTCTCTGTCATTTAAATCCCCATGTTTTTATTGGGTGCATGCTGAGTGATGACCATTGGAAGGCAATGTATTTGGAATTTTACCTTAGGATATCTGCATCTTCCAGTACTGTGGATAAGCATTGGTTCTCAACACTGGCAGCATATTAGAATCTCTAGGAAGCTATTTTTTTTTTAAAAAGATTATTTTATAATAGTTTTAGATTTAAAGAAAAGATATAAAAATAGTACAGAGATTGGCTATATACCACATACCCAGTTTCCCTATTATTATTATTAGATTGATTTTAAGGAATTGGCCCATACATTTGTGGGCAAGTCAGAAACTTGCAGGGCAGGTGGGCAGGCCAGGAGGCTGGAAACTCTGGTAGGATTGATGTTGCAGTCTTGAGGCAGAATTCCTTTTTCTCTAGGAAACCTCGGTTTTTTCTTTTAAGGTCTTCAACTGATTGGCTGAGGTCTACATAGACTATTAAGGGTAATCTCCTTCATGTAAAGTCAATTGATTATATATATTAATCATATCTGCAAAATACCTTCACAGTAACATTTCATCTAGTGTTTTTAGCAAACAACTGGGTGTCATAGCCTGGACAAATTGACTCTCAAATTTAATCATCATAACCTCCTGAGGGAGGGAGAATCTCTATAAATTATGTGGAATTCTTCTGCACAGATTTGACTATTCCACTTATTTATTCAATCATTTATTGATATCAATGTGGACTCATGGATATTTATTTTATGCTTTGGGTTATAACCCAATACTACTACTATTACTATTTTCTTGCTCAAATTCCAGCTTTGGCCATTGGGAGCTCTTTCAGTTGGCTCCTGTGTCTCTTTGACATATTCCCAATCATTGTGGAGTTATTTTGTTTTTAGCACTTTCTTGCTTTTGGTCACTATGAGATGCTCCAGGCTTATATTGTATATTCCTTGCCTGGACCTATATTCAGCCATTTCTTCAAGGAGCCCAGTTTGTTTCATTGTAGAATAATATTCGAAAACAAGATCTGGACACTAGGTATGCTCATTATTGCTGGGGTGTCATTGCCCCAGCACCTCTTAGCTGACAGAGCAAGGAATTTATCTGTACACACACACACACACACACACACACACACACACAGATACACACACACACACACACACATACACATATCTGTAAATATTTCATGTATCCATGTATATATATATATATATATATATATATATATATATATATATTTAGCTAAACAATTACAGAATACATGTATGGTGGTATCAACATTACTAGCCCATAGCCTTGACAGCAACAGTTTAACTAGAGTACAGTGCTTATGACAGTTTCTTTTGTTTTTGGTCCTATGATCTCCATTCAATTCAAAGTTATTTAGGTTAGCACCTTTTTTCCCCACCCCTTTCAATGAGGTTATTTCATACATTTGTAATATGGTTAGATTCTTTTGGTATGATCTGAATTCTATCCTTGGATTCTCTGTCTTCCTAAATTATTTTTAAAGTTTGCATACATTTAAGGTTCACACTTTCTATGGATTTTGACGAATATATAATGTTATGTATCCACCATTATTGTATCACACAGAAGAGTTTCACCACTCTACATTTCCTGTGCTTTATCTGTTCAATCATGCTCTTTCCCTAAAGCCTTGGTAACCATGGATCTGTCTAGCAACTCTATAGCTGTGCCTTTTCTAAAATCATATAAATGCAGTGATACAGGATGGAGCCTTTTCAGACTGGCTTCTCTCACTCAGCAATATGCATTTAAGATTCACCCCCCTGGTATTCAAACCTTATTCAAATAAGGCAAACACCAACATGTATCCAAACCAGCTGTTTTTGTACCTCACTTCCAATTTCTGTATGTCACTTCTCTTTTCTTGTCTATAAATTTATTCTGACCACAAGGCATCCCTGGAGTCTCTGTGAATCTGCTGTGATTCTGGGGACTGCCTGATTTGTGAATCATTCATTGCTCTATTAAAGTCCTTTAAATTAAAAAAAAAAAGATTCGCCCCATGGTTTTGGTGGCTCAATAGCTCATTCCTTTTCCTAAGGAGTTCTCTCTCTCTCTCTCTCTCTCTTTTTTTTTTTCTTTTTAAAGCAAAGCAGATGCATTGGCTCTACTCCCAGAGATTCTGACTGACTTGCTCTGGTGTGGGGCTTAGGCACTGATATGGGAATGGAGATTGTATCTCCTTACCTCAGTCCCAAGCCCATGCACAGGTGTCTGTGCATACACACATACAAACACACACCCCTTATTAATCCAAGTCACCGGTGACTGTACCAAAGGCTTGAAGCAGTGGTTTGTATAGATTTGATAGCTGGAATAAACAGACAGGATGACAAGATGTTAAGGACTGGTCGGGTTGGATCAGGTGAGAAGTTTCCCAAAAGCTGGTGCTTAAAGACTTGGTTGTCTTGCCAGGCGAGGTCTCTTCTTCCTGGTCCACTTGAAAACAGCCACATATAATTCTAATTATCCTTTTCTGTCCATAAACACAAGAGGCCTTGGGAATTTTCCAAGGGGTATAACTTCTGTTTTTTTTGTTGGGGAAACTGGGAATAAAAATGCTCCTTCCTGTGCTCACCTTAAACCTTATAAGAAAGGCAGTTGTATTGTTCCAGCATTTCACCACAGAATTTGGGCTGCAGGCTTTAGGGAATGAGTAAGATAGACCCTACGGTGGAGCGAAGGACAAACGTGGTGGGGAGGAAATCAAGGTCATAGCCACTTAGGTCCTGCTCCAGAAATGGAGACAACAGTCCAAAAGTTCACCCTTTTCTTGATACTTACACTGTTTTTTCTTTTTCTCTTTTCTTTCTTTCTTTCTTTTCCTTCTCTTCTCTTCTCTCCTCTCCTCTCCTCTCCTCTCTTCTCTTCTCTCTCCTCTCCTCTTCCTTCTCTTCCTCCCCTCCCCTCCCCTTCCCTCCCCTTCCCTTCCCCCCCTCCCCTCCCCTTCCCTCCCCTCCCCTTCCCTTCCCTCCCCTCCTCTCTCTCTTTCTTCTTTCTTTTTTCGAGACAGGGTCTCGCTCTGTCATCCAGGCTGGAGTGTAGTGGCACAATCTCGGCTCACTGCAACCTCCACCTCCCAGGTTCAAGTGGTTCTTCTGCCTCAGCCTCCTGAGTAGCTGGGATTACAGTCATGTGCCACCATGCCTGGCTAATTTTTGTATTTTTAGTAGAGACAGGGTTTCACCATGTTGGTCAGGCTGGTCTCAAACTCCTAACCTTATGATCCTACTGCCTCAGCCTCCCAAAGTTCTAGGATTACAGACATGAGCCACCATGCCCAGCCTTCTTCTTTTTTAAATTTAATTTAATTTAAAGTTCTGGAACACACGTGTAGGTTTGTTACATAGGTAAATGTGTGCCATGGTGGTTTGCTACATCTATCAACCCATCAGCTAGGTATTAAGACCCACATGCATTAGCTATTAGTCTTATTTATTTATTTATTTATTTATTTATTTATTTATTGTATTTTTAGTAGAGATGGGGTTTCTCTATGTTGGCCAGGCTGGTCTCGAACTCCTGACCTAGTGATCCACCCACCTTGGTCTCCTAAAGTGCTGGGATTACAGGCATAAGCCACCATGCCCAGCCAGCCATTGGCTCTTAATACCTGGCTCTCCCTCTCCCTCTCCCAACAGGCCCCAGTGTGCGTTGTTCCCCTCCCTGTGTCCATGTGTTCTCATTGTTCAGCTCCTATGTACAAGTGAGAACAGGCAGTGTTTGGTTTTCTGTTCCTGTGTTAGTTTGCTGAGGATATGGCTTCCAGTTCCATCCATGTCCTTGAAAAGGACATGATTTCATCCCTTTTTATGGCTGCATAGTATTCCATGGTGTATATATACCACACTGTCTTTATCCAGTCTAACATTGATGGGCATTTGGGTTGTTTCCATGTCTTTGCTTTATAGTGGTTTTGTATGTCACATCTGTCAGTGTACCAAGAGAAACAGAGGACAGAGATGTGGAATTCTTGAAACTAAGCCATCCCTAGAGCCCTTAGTTTGTAAGTTTTTAAGAGATATGCATGAGTCAGACACAGATAAATGCCCCTGATACCAGAATCAGGAATACATCTAACTAGAAATTACGTCCATTCTGAATTTTAATCTTAAAATAATTCAAAAAAAGAAAAGAAAAACAACTGTCAGGGAATAAAAATATTCTAGGTAACGATATAGAGTCGGAATATATCTAGCACACTTTTTGTATCTTCCACTTCTTCAGATGCTATATAATGTAACTGGTATTTGTGGTAAGTATTACCCAGAGGCACTGTTGATTCTGAACTGTTTTATGCAGTATCAAATATAGTTTTTATTTGCATAAGGCAGGGTTTCAGACAGAGCTAAAAGGTTATAATTTTTATTAATGTTTTACTAATCCTTAAATGTTGGCAATTGGAGTATGCTAGATACAATAACACAAATAATTCACATATTTCATTTTAACAAATGCCTTATTTCACAAGCAGTCTATATGCATAAGACGTGTATTTTCCAATTAATCAACAAAGAATGTTTTTGATGCAAGGAGAATCCAGGGAGCAATGGGCTAGGTGAACCAAAATAGTTCCAAAGGAAATGATAATCAGTATATGGAGAAAGACTTATTTATTTCTAATGCAGACACATAAGATGAGACCATTTCTCCATGTGTCGTAAATGGTTTCAGAGAATGAAAGCAACACTTACCCCTATGGTGGAAGCCATGTAGTCTGAGCAGATCTCGGCAAAGTCTCTCCCCATTACTCCATAGTAGAGGCCATAGAACAAAGACACAATGCCAAAATCCATGGAATCTCTAGCTTTGATTCTATTGAAAACAGCAATATAAGGAAATAAGAATGTGGCATATTTCTAAACAGCTGGAGTTTGGAAAATATTTCCTGTGATAGCATCTAAGAGAACCTTGTGGTAATTTTTTTTCCATTTATTTGTTTGATTTTTATTTTCTTAAATAAAAGAATTTAAAATTCTTTAAAAATCCCTCAAATTGTAGCACTCAGTGCCAACTGGAGAAGGAATTCTTGAGATAGCCTTCAAGCGCTTCTGAGGACCGCAGTGCCTAGACAAGTTCACTCAGACCAGTGGTTTCAGGCTCAGCTTCAGGTAGACCTCAGCAGCTTATAACAGTTTCCATCTCCAGGCCACACCCCAGTAACTCCAACGGGCAGCTAACATTAAGAACCACTAGAGCAAAAGTTCTCAGCCCTAAACATAGATTAGAATCACCTGGGAAGATTTAAAAGCGCATTGACACATGTGCCCACCACCAAGGACTGGAGTTTAGTTGATCTGGGGTGGGGTCTGGACAGTGTTATTATTATTATTATTATTATTTTTTTTTTTAGACAGAATCTTACTCCATCACCAGGCGCCAGGCTGGAGTGCAGTGGCGCGATCTTGGCTCTGGACAGCGGTATTTTTAAAGAGTTTGTCAAGTGATTGATTCTTTTTCTTTTTTCTTTTTTTTTTTTTTTGTGATTGATTCTTTAATACAGCAAGGATTGAGTATGTCTGCTGTAGAACTTAGATTTTATAAAATGCTTTCCACTGATCTTTCCTAACAAGTGCATGAGATAGATATTATCACCCCGACTTTGCATGTGAAAACATGGAGACTTAGAAAACATTATTTGCTTGATGCGGCAATTGGTACCTCACAAAGCCACAAAGCAAGCTCACATTTTGAAGCCCTTGGTTACCATGCCAGAGTTGCTATGTATTAACTGAAAAAAACTTTTTGCAAGTTGAATCATATTTCAATTACACCAGGATTCTTTATGATCATCCCCCTGCCCAGTTTTTTTTTTTTTTCCTTAAGGGAAAGGTGTCTTTTAAAAGTGAATGATTTGCCCTAAATTTAATTTATGAATCTAAATAATTGCATATTTGGTTTGCTCTATCTATAAAACAATCTCAAATATCAGTGGTGAGCCTTGGTTTCTGACTGATTCAGGAAAGGGAGGAAAGTGTGGACAAGAGTTGGGTAGTTCGTCTCTGTTTTCTGCTCATTGTAGGAAGAAATGGTAAAGGTGGACAGCTTTGTAGATTTAGAAGGTACAGATTTTTTGGTGATATGAACTGAGACTTCCAACATAGGTGGTAGCTGCCTCCTTTCAGGATTTGTCTGGGTATATCTGAGAATGTGGACAGTGGGCTAAATGAGCAGTATCTTCCCTTCATGTCCAGGAAGTATTTATAATTTTATTGATTAAAAAGTACAGTAACACACTTGTGGCTAACTAGGAACAAAGCTTAATACAATAATAATCTTCAAGTAGTGAAACAAAATAGTTCCTTTTCTAAAGGGTTAAGTTCTTGGTATGCCTTACTGTAGGAAAATTCATGAATAAGGATCGTGAAATCTTATGAGGTAGTAGTCTTGGAACAGCTGTAATTCCCAGTGATTTCATAAAAATCCTTATGAGTATTTTACATTCACCAAAATAAACCAGTATAGACAGTATGGTAAAATAGACATTACAGTGTCTTTCTATTTCCTAACCTAGCAATATAGATCTGTACAGTTACTTTCCACCCCTTTCCTGCTAGAAAATATTAGCTACTCCCATTCCGAAAGTTTTATAAAATGCTTATAAAATCAGATTGCTATGCTGCCATAGGAAGAGCCCTTTCCCTGAGGGCTGACTCTCCATCCAATTGCCTTTCTTATTTTCTGATTAAAGGGTTGATGATCTCTGCTTTTCAGTTTCTGTTGTGGTCCCGGAAGTTTGGAGTAACTTCGATGTGAGAGCTATTCTGGGGAATTTGTATTTGAGCTGCTTTCTATAGCTGTACGTGTGGTATGTCTACAGTCCCCTTTCCAGGACACAGGCTGGTTACTCAGCCTCGGTTGTGCCTGTGAGAATGCCATTGACGGCATGTCTCAGCAACCACCTTAAGTGGGAGCGTAGCTCTTCGTCAAAGATGTGATTATCTCAGCTTACTTTATTTCTCCCCAGACTTTCTTGCTCTTTTACACCTTTCTCTTTCAATTTCTTTTTTAAAACTCCCCTCTATTAAACAATAGATATTGACATGTTTTCTATCCTTCAAATCTTTTTTATTTATTTGGTTTCCCAGCTTATATATTTTTTCCAATTAAAATTTTTGTTGAGACGAGGTCTGGCCATGTTGCCCAGGCTGGTCTTGAACTCCTGGCCTCAAGCAATCCTCCCACTTCTGCCTTCCAAGTAGCTGGGATTATAGGCATGAGCCACGGTACCCAGTCTCTTGCAATTTCTAAGCACTCACTTTTCCTCCTTTTCCAACTATCCCCAATACAAGGCGTTTCATGAATATCAGAAACCAAATTCAAGAGAGCCATGCTGTCCAATGGAAATACAACCACAAATATAATGTTAAATTTTCTGGTAGATGCATTTAAAAATTTAGAAAAACAGATGAAATTAATCCCATCAATATATTTAAATACTGTCATTTCAAAATGTAATTGATATAAAAATGTTTTTTATGTAAGTCTTTGAAATTCAGTATGTATTTTATACTTTTAGGTGTACAGTAGTCACATGAGCTAGTGGCTACTATATTGGACAACATAATTCTAGAGATTTTAGATAAGAAGATAGATATAAAAGGAGATCTAGGCACCTGAGAACTATGTAGAAGAGAAATATAGTTCAGTAAGAATCATTGTAGCACATTTGTAGGTCTACTGTTAATCAATAGTAATCTTTTAAATTGGCAGACCAAATATAAATTCTCCTTAAAGGTCCTAATTTAAAAAAATTATTTTGTAGGGTGATCCTTTCTTCCCTTTCTATTGCTTTTCCACAGACTCAACTCTGTGTGGATAACTACTATAAAACCTGGTGCGTGGAAAATCGTAGTGCCGAATGCTTCCGGATTGAGAGAACATGACCGGGTGAGTGCTCCAAGCAACTGCTTGGAGATATTAATGTCTTAATTGGAGATACTTACTTGAAAAACAGATTGAATCCACACATTGTAAACATGATCACCAAGTAGCCCACAACACCAAATGCATAGCTGAGTTTGTAGATCAGAAGAAACCATTTGTAGACCAATCTGTGGAGTGAAAAATGGGGAAAAAAGACAGAACATGATAATATTATAAAATATTTTGTCTCTTTCAAAGTCTTATAAATCAGTTTTTAGTTTCTAAAATTATATTTATAACACACAGAACACAGATGTATATAGCAATAAGCATTCTATGAATAGTGCTATCATGCGCACGTGTTTCTGTGTATATGCATATGTGAATTCTTTTTAAATTTGTCTGCGTCCCTCACATGCTTCACTTAAAAATAGCCCTCAGGAAAGGTTAATCTTTCTGCACCCCTGCCTCCCCACACTGTCCCCTTCTCATTTGGTCTTAGGGTTAACCTGGAGTGGTTTTAGCAGGAGTGTCTTAGAGGTGAACAAAATGTGGGATGAAAAGTCAAAGGGGAGTCCAGACCTTCTTACCCGGGAGTTTTTCTTCTCTTCGTTCTGCTGCCTCTCCCCGGCTCCACCGCCCAAGGACAGATATCATCAGCAGTGGGCTCAGCACTCATCCCATTTCTCCTCCACCCAAAGAGCCCTCCCGTAGCCCAGGGCATGAAATGACAAGAGCCCCAGCCTCTTTCCTTTCCTTCCACGGCCTTTCCTTCTTCCCAAGGGTCTAAGTGGAGAAGGAAAAGGATGAGGATGGAGGGTGAGTGGAGAGAATCTAGAAGGAAGCTCTCCCCTCTGCTGGTTTCCTTCTTCACTGACAGTAAAGGGGCTTAGAAAAAAACTACAAGAAGGACCATGTGACAGCTTCATGTCTAGGAGGATGGGGGAAGAGGTTGGGAGCCCAGTTCCATTGCTGGTGGGCCACAGCAGAGGAGCTATGCCCATTGGTATAAGAGGTGGTGGATGGAAAAGCTGGGGGCTTATCTTTGTTGCTGAAAGAAAATGAAGAGGTGGCTGGAATGCTGCTTACAAGGGTGTGCAATGGCAGAAGGCCCTGTTTGCCTCACAACCCTTTCTCTGCACATCTTCGTGGAGTCTTTTTCCTGCCTGTCACCCCAAACTACATTGAGAATCTTGCTCCAGAGATTTAGCCCCACCCTCTTGCCCCCTATCCCTGAGCCCTATCGCCAACTCTCTCACCTTCCCCAGATCACTCCCTGTTGGAGTCATGGTATTAAATGCTTAAGATCCGTGATATTACTAGCATAAGATTTAATATGATTTTAATAGGTACTCTATTTCATTGAGTTCCAGTCAGAAGGGACCTTCTGAACATTATGGTTTAACTGGGTTGTGGGCTAGCCCGTGAAATGAGTTGCCATATACATCACTTCTATAGTGAAATGCTCTCTGCACTTTAAGCAACTGATATTAAGGGACCATCTGTGCTGCCACCTCCTCCACACAGGTGTGATCTTGCCCCTTGGGGGAGTAGGCAGGGGTGAGCTACATTGACACAGAAATGTGCATGGACTGCATTGTCTTAAATTGGCTTAAATTACCGTGAGGCTGTGTGGCCTCGAAAGGAAGCCAGAGAAGGCTTTTGGGGTCTTTCTGCCACAGTGGCTCTTAAGCCATGAGTTCTTTTCATTTGTCAGTGCTAGCAGCTTAGATCATTGCTCAGGGCGGCTAGATCAAGGTGAAAGTTTATTTTGCTAAAAGTGGTAATGGTGGAGAAACAGGCAAGCTCTGAGAAGGTCCTCTCTATTGGGCCCCCAGCACCTGCCAGTACCAGAATATGGTTCCTTAAACTGCATACAGACTTGGTGACCCCATCTCCCTGCCTTAAGGGACCTCTCTCAAACTTCTGTCAGCATTAGAGATGCTCCAGGACTAATAACCTTTACATTGCAGGGTTTCTCTGTGCAAAGCAGTTTGTTGAATTAATTAAGCCTTAGCATGCTTTTGGGAGCAGAAGCTTTGCTGTCAAGTAGTTCTTTGGTCTGATCCAGGACTTTGCTGCTTACTGCCCATGGGACTTGGGTTAATTTACTTGGCATTTCTTCCTACGATGGCCTCATTTATAATGTGAGGATGACAACACTAGCTCCTAAGGTTGTTCTGAAGATTGTGTGAGCTAATGTATTGATGTTTATTGACTTGGCACATTAAATGCTCAATATGTCATATTGTTACGGATGTATTCGATTTTCCAAATCTCAAGCTCCCTTTCTGCCATTTTCTTGCTTATTGGGGGTAACTGTTTTCAGGAACAGTAGAGTCCAGAACTTCCTTCCTACCAAGATTTACACTGTAAGGCAGATAAGCCAGATAGGAGACTGTGCAGCTGTTTCAGAGCAGCCTCCAAAAGGAAAGCTGGCCTTGGGCCGGATTTCCTCCAAAAAGAAAGCTGATCAAGCCCAGCTCTCTGTGGCTAGTGTGTGGCTTGTGGCCTCTTTTTTTTTTTTTTTTTTTTTTTTTTAAGGTGGAATCTTGCTCTGTTGCCCAGGCTGGAATGCAATGGCACGATCTTGGCTCACAGCAACCTCTGCTGCCGGGTTCAAGTGATGCTGCTGTGTCAGCCTCCCGAGTAGCTGGGATTACAGGCACTCATCATCATGCCCGACTAATTTTTGTATTTTTAGTAGAGATGGGGCTTCACCATGTTGGCCAGGCTGGTCTCAAACTCCTGACCTCAGGCTTCCCTGATCCAACCACCTCGGCCTCCCAAAGTGCTGGGATTACAGGCACGAGCCACCACATGTGTGGCTTGTTTCTGAGTTTGGTCTTCACTACTTGCCAGACAAACCAACTGTAGTTGAGAGGAAACTCACTTCCCCTTCTCTGGGTACTCTAACCTGAAATAAGAGCTTGATGTGCTCTCAAAGAGGAACAGCAGGCTTTAAACTGCTGGTGCTGGAGACTACTACTCTTGGGTCTGCCTTCTACAGCAATGCTGATTTCTTCACCCAGCTCCCCTAGCCTGTAATGAAATCCTCTCCTTCCAAATGGAAGATAGCTAAAATGTGACTCACCTGTAATACAATAATTAAGCAAAGATCCATGATGATTCTGGGGCCTATTATTGCCTCTTATGTATGGTAGCTCTATCCTGACTACTCATCTAGAAGAGGGCCTACTTCACCTTGCTCACTGTTGTCTTTTCAAATGGCAGCTGAGTTTGCTTTACAGTGTCAGTGAAGCCTCCTGGCTCTTAGACTATCCTGCAGGGCTTGGAGTTGTGGAGGCAGGAAGATGCTGAGAGGACATGCTTTGGGCATGGGAAAGACAGCATGGCACCCTTGCCAGTGGATATATGCAAGGCATAAAGGGTAATGAGGTAGCTTTGGGTATTTCTTATAATAAAATTCCTCTGCATTGCGTGAACTGATGTGTGCAAAAACACTGCCTTTAGGTAGGGTAATTCATTATACAGTGGAAAGGCGACCCATTCTTACAGAAATATAATATAGATTATATCCAGGGGATGAAAACAAGCACATTTGGAATCATCCCAAACTCAGAGCACTTTCACAAATCTTAAATAACAGAATATTTTCTAAGAAGGAGAAAGGTACCATATGCTCACTTTGCTGACTGGTAAGCCAGACACTACAAGGGCTGTCCAAGACTCCAAACTGGCCAGTGTATAAGGTCTCCTACCACCACCCCAAACCTCTTCCCAAAGCAGAACTAAACTAAAATAGTCAACATGAATTCAGTATTTGGATTTCCATTTTTATCATCACATTTATTTATCTGATTTCTCACTGGATTCCTTCCCCAAACTTGAAGGAAAAGTTGACATGCCTGTTTCCTACATTTTTAGAGGATGAAAACAAATGTCTAAATACTCATATAAGTATTTCACTGGAGTTTATAATTTATTCTCCCAAAAGGTCAAACTTAGCATTGTTTTATTGCTATTTTAAATTTTACACATTTTATCTCATTCCAATTTTATGTTGATGAGGTTTGATTTTACACATAGAACAGAGAGGGCGAAAGCAAGCCTGTGGGTGCAGTATGTGATAAGCACTCTGGAAAGATTTGTGAATGATACAATGGAGTTATACAAATCTTCAGAGGCTGACAATGGTAATTAAAGTGACCACTGGACTATTAAAGCATCATTTGTTAATAGAATAATAAGTTGTCCATGACTTATGATTTATTATATATTTTCAGGTTGAAACACAACTTTCAACTCTTGCTCTATTTTAAAATGTGTGACACAACTTACAGTGGAATGAAGTAAATACTTGCTGAGCTAAAAATAAGCATGCAAAAATGCTCTAGAAATTTTAAACAATAGTTTCACTTCTCTTTTTTCTGTTTTTCACTAGCTAATATTTGAAGTAATAAATTTTACATGCATATCTGAATCACCATTAAATAATGAAGGCAAATGAACAGTAGTGTAGCTAATTTCTCAATGGTTTTGCTACCAAAGGTAAAAGATAACGTAACAGAAGTGTAATCTCCCCCCAACTCAGGAAAATGGCAATCAAATATGCTTTTTAATATATAAAATAAAGGGGATCCTGGGGAAGGAATGTATGGAATACATACCGTGGTGTCCTCCCAGAGAGGGGTTTTCGGGTAGCTCTGAAGAGGATGTAACTGGTAATAACGGAGAACATCCCCCACATAGACAGAAACCGCCACCAGTATAGTTTTATCGTGAAATATAAGGGGACAACCCACATCTGCAACAGGGTCACCAGCTGTGAGAGAAATGAACAGAAGTGTCTTTCAATGATCAAGTGCCTGAATGGCGTCTCCATTATTAAATGAGTCCGAAGCATCTCTGGGAGAACCACCTTCACCATCATGTTTGTACCATGCAACTGGTTCACCATCAAACTGTCAGCTTCCCCAGACAGGCCAGGCTCTGGAGAGTATGGGCACAATTATCTGAAAATTCAAATAGGAAGCAATCCAAAATGCCCGCCTTCCGTCACTTCCTTTCATCTGACTATTTTAGATGAAAAGTCTTTGGGGCCTCCACAGTGATGTGATTTTGGACAAGAGAGCCTCACTTCAGTTGTGTAATTGGCGGTACCGATAATTGCACTGCTTCCCTGCGCTGACTGAGGTGGGGATCAAATGAGATCAGGAATGGAAAGCACTCTGAAAACCGCATTGCTCTACACAGAGCCCAGGGGCTTTGTTACTTTCATGTGCCCATGTGAAAGTGACAGCAATGTCAAAGGAGGAAGTGGAGGTCAGAGTTTCAGAGCAGTCCCAGGGCCTCAGCAAGGTTTCCTGTTCCTTTGGTGCATAAACCCTTTGTGGCCTATGCCATTGACCTGAGTCCAAGGAGCCTTCCGAGGGCCCTTTAATCTGGTCCCTTTCCCATAGGTCAGGGAGCAGGGTAGAGTGAACTGACTGTCTGTGGGTCACTGAAGTGATATGGCTACCATAGCCACACTCCTACTCTTTGAAGCAGGCCTAATACCAGCTAGTCATCCCTCTTGGGAAAAGCAGACAGCCTTAATCAATAGCAATATCCTTTGGTCTTTTATGTTTTCCTGAATTCAGACTAACCGCCTATTATTTGATTGGCATGAATATAAAGGGAGTGGCAAAGAGGTTTTTGTCTCAAGGGTGGACGTTAACTAATTTTTAGTGGCACTCTGCAGTGCTCTGTTGAGGATTCTGAGCTGGATCCTGGTTTAGTGGTAGAGTCTTATGATCAATTAATGAAGTCTGCCAGCAGTGTGGGAAGAGTGGTTAGAGCTCGCTTATTGCATATTCATCATCCTGAGTATTAAAAAGGCTGCTGCCGTTTATTTTCTTTACCTTCTCAATCTTTGCAACAGAAAAGGGAGGCTTGGAACAAAAGAGTTACATTGTTGGATCCTTTAAATACGTCTTGGTAATAGTCTAAGGTCAATAACCAAAGCTCTTGGACAGGACTTTAAGATATAATTGAGAAAGGTGGGCTGGGTGCAGTGACTCACACCTGAAATCCCAGCACTTTGGGAGGCCAAGGCGGGCGGATCATGAGGTCAGGAATTCAAGACCAGCCTGGCCAACATAGTGAAATTCCCTCTCTACTAAAAATACAAAAAAAATTAGCTGGATGTGGTGGCGGGAGCCTGTAATCCCAGCTACTCGGGAGGCTGAGGCAGGAGAATCACTTGAACCTGAGAGGCAGAGGTTGCAGTAAGCCAAGATCGTGCCACTACATTCCAGCTCAGGCAACAGTGCTAGACTCCGTCTCAAAAAAGTTAAATAAATAAAAATAAATGAGAAGGCAAGGCAACAGCCATTCTTCTTTCAATGTCAGACAAGAAGACATTTCCCAGGCTCAACATTCTCCTTTGATTGCCTCATCCTCATAAATGATCTGAAGTCTTCTTAGAATTGCTCTGAATCTTCTTTCAGAGAACCCTAGAGTTGTTATCATCAATATACACTCGAACAAAAACACACACAGAGCAAGTCTGAGGTGAGTATCTGAGGAGTTCAGGAACAAATCCTGTAACTTACTTTTTTGTTTTTTTAACTTCAAGGAATACTTTCAGGGAAAAGAAAATATTCTTTACTCTTGCCTCCATGTATCAGAAAACTGCTTTAATTTTCCATCCTATTTTGTGGGTGTAGAAAATGAATGAGTTAGCACCTTTATGAAATTAAGATAAATACACATACACAAATAGAAAAACAGGCTTTACTTAAGGAAGTAGAATAGTTTTCAAGAGGACCTGAAACCACATGCTAAGTAACCAAGACTCAAGATGTGCTTACTTAAGCATTCAGCATGAGCAACTTTGACCCTCTGCTATTGATAGTAAGAGTGTGCAGCACAATGGCCGGGTGTGGTGGTTCATGCCTGTAATCCCAGAACTTTGGGAGGCTGGGGTGGATAGATTGCTTGAGCTTAGGACTTTGAGACCAGCCTGGGCAACATGGCCAAACCCCGTCTCTACAAAAATTAGGCAGGCATGGTGGTATGCGCCTGTAGTCCCAGCTACTTAGGAGGCTGAGGTGGGAGGACCACCTGAGCCCTTGAGGCCGAGGCTGCAGTGAGTTGAGATCATGCCATTGTACCTTAAAGGGGTGACAGAATTAGACTCTGTCTTTAAAAAAAAGTATGTTGCATCTTAACAAAAATCTCATCAGCATACTGGTCATTTATTTTCTGTAAGCTCATTCTGGAGATACTTCTCTATCATAAATTATACATTTGCTGACTTAAAAGTCCATTACTTCTGATAGTAAAAAAGAAGATGGACATGAACTGCATCTTTCAAAGTCTGATCATCTGTCATTTGCATTTTTCATCTTTCTATTTTAAGAATTTGACTAATTTTTTACATTTTCCTATAAAAATACTGAAGTTTCTTAAAATAAAAAGTTGAGTTGGTTCATTTTAATTCAATGGAACTACTATGCCCTCATATTTTGTACTTTAGACCTAAGCCAAAATATAAGACTAATAAATTTCTTCTAATCCATGGAGTTACAATCCATGATAGTTTGGAGCTATAACTGGATTATATTTTAATAAAACAAGTTCTCTTCCTATAGATCTATAAGTATGAGTAATTTCTAGAAGACCTCGAATTTCTCTTGATACCTAGATTTAATTGATAGTGAATAACAATGTTCAACGTACAGACATGGTACTTTTAAAAATAGACTTTGGAGACCGAAGAGGAAAAGAGAGCAAAAAATCATTAGAATGTATAAAGAACGCAAATATTTTATTTCTTAACTATCTTTAAACTGTAACCCAGCACCCTATTTTCTCAACATACGAAGGGAAAGTTCAAAAATTTGCTCTGTGAATTCAATGATTACATTGGTAGTCATTTTGAAATGAGAGCCACATTTGATAGCAATTTAAAAGATTCTTTATCAATTTCCAGTGCAGTTAAAAGTTCTCCTTTTAAATATTAACTGCCATATATGAAATTAAGGAACGCTGTCCCTCATAAATAAACACATGAAATATGTGCAATCGAGGCATATACATGCAAAGAAGGAAGCCTGGCATCTGGAACACATTAATAATGCCAGAGGGGTCACCATCTGGCCATGTGCATATAAAACACATCTGCATTACTGGCAACGGGCAGCTCATGCATCTGGATCACATCACCCAGTTCTCCCCAACCACATATCAGAGCAGGAGGAATTTCCTGACGAATCAGATGCTGCCCAAAAGTACCATGGTTTTTTCGTGTTGCCATGCACATAATGAATCTACAAAGAATTACAGATCAAGCTAAACAAAGATATCTTTCATTTATCTAATTGTACAGAATGATGAATGGGCTGTGCAATATTCAAAGAAAGAAGGAAAGAAAAAGAAAAAGGAAGGAAGGAAGGAAAGAAAGAAAGAAAGAAAGAGAAAGAAAGGAAAGAAAAGAAATTATGTGTGTTCATTTCCTTTGCACTGCAAATCCCAAATAATCTGTAATCATTTGTGTGTGTGGGAAGGTGGTGGGATAGTGGAGGGAGAGCAGTGGTATGCTCAGAGGTAAGCAGAAAATTACCATGAAAATAAATACCCAGGAAACAATCCTGCTTTCAGTAAAAGACAATGAAGGAGAGTGTGAATATAAAGCAAGTAAGAAGAAAGTATGAGCTGGCATGTGGTTACTTACACCTGTAATCTGAGCACTTTGGGAGGCCAAGGTGGGTGAATTACTTGAGGCCAGGAGTTTGAGACCAGCCTGAGCAACATGGTGAAACCCCATCTCTACTAAAAATACAAAAAATAGCTGGGTGAGGTGGTACAGGCCCTGAGTCCCAGCTACTTGGGTGGCTGAGGTGTGCAAGTCGCTTGAACCTGGGAAGTGGAGGTTTCAGTGAGCTGACATTATGCCACTGCACCCCAGCCTGGGCAACAGAGCAAGACTCTGTCAGAATGAGAATGAGAATGAGAATGAGAATGAGAATGAGAATGAGAATGAGAATGAGAAAATGAAAATGAGAATAAGAATGAGAAAAGGAGAAGGAGAAAAGAAGAAGAAGAGGAAGGAGGAGGTATGGAAATGGAATCTTGGCATAAAAAGGTCCCTTAGAAATTCAGTTGGTTCACTTTTTAAAATCCCCACATCAATCTAGATGGCTGATGTTGCTATTTAAACTTTTAAGGAGATTCTGCAATGTTATGTACATAGGTATTTAAGTATGTATGTATTTGTATCTTGCCTCATTTTAAAAAGATTTGAGCAGACACTTGCTTTATTGGCCCAGTAATATTTTCTAGTATTTCACAGCTATTAATAGGCAGGAAGTTTGATTTAAATGGAGCAAGGCTGCAATCTGGAAAATTATTTGCACTGTATTGAGGCAAGTTAATAATGTGTCTGAAACCCAAGTTCTGGGGATGTAGTCATCAGACCTTCTAACTGATTTGTGGAACAGGAGAAAGATTCTTTTTTGGCACTCTCCTGCCTACTTGCTGCAGATATGGAAAGTGAGTGCATGTAAAAGAAGGTGGAGAGGGTGATGTTGAATGAAATTTTATTTCTAGTTAAATGCTGTTCAAGGCATTTGGAAATCATTTAACTTTGAGGCTTTGCCTACATCTACAACATATCAAGATTACCAGCTGGAAAGGGAAAAATCCAAATACCCAGATGCTTGGACTATACTGTGTTACAAATGTGACTATTTGAAAACATCCAGGTATTTAGTAGTACCTCACACAAAAGAATTTTCTACCTTCTTTCTACTTTCGACATCACATAGGAGCAGTTAATGT